GGTAACTGCATCTAGGTTTGGGGAAGTCACACATGCTACCTGTCATCGAAACATGGGGGAACTTTGTGAGAGTCTTGTTTCATCTTGGACTCTTAACACAAAAGCCAATCAGCATGGACAAAATTATGAAAAGAAAGCTTTAACCAAATTTGAACAAACAATGATGTTACATGTGAAGAGGGCTGGACTGTTTGTACACCCAAAGTATCCAAATCGGGGGGCTTCACCTGATGGGATCAACGATGAAAAGGCTACACTTGAAATAAGATGTCCATTTGTAGGTTGCACATCATTTATAACAACCAGCAAGATGTTTCCGTTTCTTATATATACATGTACTTTTGTATACATGCTTGTCCAAAAGATAGAATTTGACACTGAGTACTGTGAATTCAGTCCGTTACCCACACTAAACCTATATTATGTGAAACATTTCATGACTTACATTGCTTCTCATATGTAAAAAGGTCAAGGTCAATATCCTTGTTACTTTCTATAGATTTTTATTGTCAATATTATCATATTTGCTATAATTAGCAAAAAGGGCACTCAAAAATTGTTGAAATGGGGTTCTTATTCGGGTAATAAGACAAGAGCTTAAGCAGAAAAAAGTTTACTCATACTATTATTATTATATAACTTACTATATATATAATCATGATCATTAGGAAAACTGTGACAAGACAGCATTCAAGTCCCTTGTTTTTTAAGACTTATTTGTGAGCAGCAAATCCATGATCACCAGGCGTAAATACCTCCTGAAAAAGGAGGAGGGGTACTTATTGAGTGAGGAGCATTAATTATGGCAAAGATGGTATAAAAAATATCTTAATGGTTGACAACTTCAAGATATATATTCATTTAATATATACATGTACTTGTATCTTAAATTTATCTTGCAATAAGCCAAAATCAATGTAGTTTGCAGTCACCAAACATAAAAGTACATTTTTTATGTATTTTACAGATTGCTAAAAGTTTTCTCGACTTGGAGACAAAAATTAAATTCCAAGCAATCATTATAGAATGAAAGATGAGTGGATAACAGAAGGTGGGCTTATTTATACTAATGAAACAATATGTCCAGTATATTGACAAGGCATTTTTGTCCACTAAGGGGGCTCTGAAATTAAGAAGTGAGAAACAAATATAAATAATTCTTGATGCAAGAAAATCCAGTCCAGTACTGGACTGCTTTAGCAATGTTACCACAGTTATGAAAGCTACACATTCCACATTCACCAATGTTATATTGGATCCCTGTACTGACTGCTGTGATTGAACTATCCTCAACAATTTCTTCAGTTTGCAGTTTCATCAATATTGCCTGNAAATGTAACAAATAATTCATAAAACAAAAATAATTAAAGATCCATGTCCTGCTGCGGCAGACAAAACACTACAGAATTCTACTGTATTTAGATATGTATAACAGTAGTGACGATCAGGTAGCTCAGTAGGTTTAGTATACTGATCTGGAGTCTGGAGTTGAAATCATGAGCACATATTTATGAAACCATTCTCCAGGTTTTGCTCAAACTCAGATTTTGTACTCAAGCCCAATTAATTATTTCTGTGTAAATCACAATTTCCCACTGATTATGAAGAATTGTAGAGAGACTAATCACTTCAAACCAAAAACCGCTTAAAATCAGAAGAGCTTATTCTTGAAATAAGAATGTTGGTTTGAGCACAAAAATGGTTTCATGATTTATCAAAGATATATACACATACCAAACAAATAAGTTTCCTATATATGGATAGTTCCAGTTTTTGGAAGTGCTACATCCTTAAATGATAAAAAGTGTTCATGGCTTTTAGCTGAATCTTGGCATTTAATAATTTCAAAAGTAAAATTGAATTCTTCATGAATTTTTGAGTGTCAAAACATAGGTCAAATAAACCTGTCTTTAAAACCAAGGAGTCAAATTTTATTTTAGGGAGTCAAAACATGCTATAAAATATTAGTCTAGCGTCAACTGAAAATCCTGGTAACTCTGGCTCATACTTCCTCTAATTGTACAGCAAAACGTGCTCAGCTTCCATAAGTACACTGTGAACAAGTTGAGCGATTTTTCTGGGTAATTTGATTTTTCTATTATTCAGTAATTGTTATTTTAAAAGCAACACAATTGCTACTCGCTAATTTGAAAAGAAGCTGCATGATGCTTGTCGCTTTGAAGTGTGGCTGCCCGAGTTGTCATATGCAAAAATAATAAATTACCTTATCAAGTGTCCTGCCCCTTACAAAGTCATTCCTATGTTTCTATGCCAATTAGACATAATTAGTTTTATTATGATGTTCATATTCATTGCCATAGCTTATGTGTTCAAAACTTTTATTAAATTTGTGTTATAAATCAGATATTGTTTTTGTTATTTATGAAATGAAATGTAAATCTGCATAATGATCATGACAATTAGCATACCAGCATAATCAATTCTAAACTATAACACTACAACATGACCACTGATCCCCTTCTGATAATTTTTTCTTCCTGATTTTGCCGACTGTTATGCGACGTCTGTCATAAGTATCTCGGCGCATAAACCTCTAACACTGTTCGAGTAGTATTCCCCCCTATCATCCTCAGAATAAATATGGTAGATAGGTAAGCATTTTTTTATGTTGGCAAAATATTGAAACTATGTTTCTATAGAGCAGGATTTCTAACTTTTAACAGTGCATATAATGAATGCCAATAACAACTTTAGGGTAAGCACAATATCGTACACTGCAATACTAGCCCGAGTTTCCGCTGGCCCTGACACCAGACTTATATATTTTGACATACAGATGTCTGGTACCAGACATCAACATGTAAAAATGTCAGACACCAATATGTCGAAATGTCCAAGTTNCGAGTAGTATTTCCCCCTATCATCCTCGGAATAAATATGGTAGATAGGTAAGCATTTTTTTATGTTGGCAAAATATTGAAACTATGTTTCTATAGAGCAGGATTTCTAACTTTTAACAGGGCATATAATGAATGCCAATAACAACTTTAGGGTAGGCACTGCAATACTAGCCCGAGTTTCCGCTGGCCCTGACACCAGACTTATATATTTTGACATACAGATGTCTGGTACCAGACATCAACATGTAAAAATGTCAGACACCAATATGTCAAAATGTCCAAGTCTGGTGTTAGGGCCAGAGGAAACTCGGGCTAGTACTGCAGTTTTTATTTGACATAATACTGTATGTTTACATAAATCCTAGACTGTTTGAGGCGAGTATTGAAGCCATGGAAAGGAAATAAATAAATCAACAAATCATTCAGATAGGGAGTAATGAAAGAGGAGAAGCAAAAAGTTTCCTATTTCATACCTAATCATGTTTTTATAATCAGTTTGAACGAAGTGTGCGTTACACACAACATCAGCCGGTGACGGTTTGCCCGATCGCATCTCTTTATGGCGACCCTCCACTTCAGTTCTTCTTTGTCGTACGGGGGCACCCGTACGTTGTAGACCTGGCTCTCGGGGAAAGTTGTGTCCTCCACTTCCAGAACATTGTGGTACACGGACCGTGATACACAGCAGTACTTCACCTGTAAGTTCACCATCCATCAGCGACTACAGGCGTCAACGTGAAATTAGGCCGTATACACCAGATCGCGCCTCCTTTTAAAAAGAGCGATACCCCCTAGTACACCCGCGCCCTCTAGGGACAAAAATGTCGCGGTGGGAACCATTCATCTCACCAAAAACGAACGTGAAAAAGAAAACACCTGAGAGGTGAGGCAAAATTCAGGGAAAGGAAAGAATCGGGGGAATTCATATACCGGGTAACGGGGGCCATCATGGAACAGGAAGATCGGCCCGTTGGCAGCAAGAAAATAATAACGCATGCGGATAAATTCCGATGTATGTTTACAAATGCAGACACACTCACAAACAAAATAGACGAACTGAAATCTATAATCAGAAAGGAGAAGTTAGATATCATTGAAGTAGTCGAGGCTTAAACAAGTCCGAGTTGGATATCGATTGATTTGAAGTATTTCCTGGGGAGATAGAACAAGAAAATGGTTCGAGAGGAATCATCATATACACGGCACACAATCTTAACAATTGGATGCCTCTATAGGAGTCCAAACAGCGTAGACGAAAATAATATGGATTTATGCGCTACTTACCGATATAGTGGAAGTAAAAACAACCCACTTAATAGTAATGGGGGATTTAATTTAAAAAATAAAAATTGAAATCAGTGGAATTCATCTAGAGGAGTAAAACATTTGGAATATCAATTCCTCGAATCGGCCAAAGATGCATTTCTATTACAACACATAAAGAATCCAACAAGAATAAGAGCAAATAACGAGCCCAGTATTTTAGATCTGATATTCACAAACGAACAAGATATGATGAGTAACATTGAAATAAAAAGCGGACTAGGAAAGAGTGATAATGGCACTATATTTTTTTAATTGAACTGTACAAAAATACACAGATTTAGCAAAACAACTAAGTATAATTACAATAAAGGCGATTACGAACAAATAAGAAAAGAACTATCGATATACTGGAAGGAAATAATAAGCCGCGCATCAGACACAAGATCAAAGTACGTAATTTCAAAAGATAATTAAAACAAGGGAAATAGGGAAATAGGGAAATACAACGAACACGTGAAAGCCAGACACAAAGTAAAACCTTTGGTAAGGAAATGCAGAAGAAGTATAGAAAAGGTTGTCGCGAAAGAGGTTAAGAATAACCCCACTTTAACAGGTGATAGAAGT